GTGTCCCAGTTGGCGGGCTTCCTAGCACTAGCGCTTTGCCTCCCTATACTTCGCTATACTACCTTGCTACACTACCTTGCTATACTACCTTGCTATACTGCCGTGCTATACTACGTTGCTATCCTACTCTCGAGACATGCATTTTCTCTGCTTACCCTTAAAAAAAAAAGGAGGGGGTCTGCTTACGACCTTATTCTGGCTCGCGCAGTCTCTGCGCTATCGCCGGGGTGGAATCGTATGGGGGTTGAATGAAGCACTTTATGCGCCAGTTCTGCTGCTCTGTCCCGTTACGGGAATGGCAATTACTCCATGAATGGATGGTATAGCTTGTCCAAAAAAGGAAAGACGTCCCTGTGCTATTTGCGGGGTTTAAAATACGTGGAGGATTTGTTAAGTCCATGTCCATGGCAGAGATCGATCTGCCCTGCGTGTGTGTGTGTGTGTTTTTTTTTTTTTTTTATTTTTTTTTTTATTTTTTTAAATACCTTGCCTGCGAGCTTCTGGGTGCATAACGGAGAATCAAGAGGCTAAAGGTCTTCCGATCGTCTCAGGGCGTACGCACACAAACGAGCCCTATCTTAAATGTATCTGACCGTATTGACGGCCTCACCTGGATGAATCTGACCACAATTGCGTTCATAAATAAGCAAAAAACTCCTACCAGTATTGTGACTATACCCTCATTCTCTTCTTCGCCCCCGTCTTTTCCCCTTCCCTTTGTTTTTGGTGGTCTTAAATCTTACAGTATTTGTCTATGGCAGGACAAAAAAGAAAAAAAAAGGAAATATGGCAGAGTATCGAGCAAGGGAGACGTGCCATGTACATGTATTGTAATACATTCACTGAAGTGCATGTTCCGGAAGCACTGTATTGAGTCCGTTTATTGCAATACGTTCATTGAAGTCCTGTTTCTCGTCTTGTGTCCGTCTATTTGTTCAAAGTCTTGTGATGAGCAACCGGATTGGCCTTCCCCCCCAGAATAGATTGGGCAAGTGTCTTGGATGACAACAACAACAACAACAACAACAACAACAACAGCAACAACTTGGCCATTGCTTGTCACGCTTTCTTCTTCTTCTTTCTTGTCTATTCTCTCTCTCTCTCTCGCTCTTTTTTTTTCTTTCCCCCCCCCCCCCCCCCCCCCCCCC